AATATCATATTAACTTTAATTTAAAAATCTTAAAACTTTTAGCCAATCAAATCTAATATACCTATTTATTAAACAAATAGTATATTTCTTTGTTCCTAAAATTCGATATATGAAACAAAAATCAAGTATTGCTATTCTGTAAATTGGATCAAAACTATTTCTATTCTGTTCTTTGTGGGTGAGCTTTAAAGACTCAACTTGCGTGTGACACTGACCAAAACCTAAAACATTACCTTCATGCTGTAATTTGCAAATCTGAATATTATTATCTTCTTTGATAGCGTAAACCTTTTTCTATTATGGCTCTTTTGATTCCAAGAGGACACCGAAAGCTTTAAAGCTTGGTGAAGTTAACCGGTTCGATTGCAAAATGGAACTTCGGTTTAGGACTGAACCGGAGACAGAGTAACGTTTAGTACGGGAATATACCACTGATCAGAACTTCACTTGTTCTTCATCTTCTTCTCTCTCCTCTCAAGATTGAGAATTTCAGTTTCGATCTACAAAAAGTTTCCAACTTGCCGTCGAATTCAAATGGGAAGTGGAAGAGATAGAGACGACCCTTTATCGTTTACTAGCAATCCATCATCGGCGTCGTCTCCGGTCACTGTATCTGATTATCTCGACAGCTTTCTCGGCGAACCCACTTCTCGGTCCGGGAGTTTTCAGAGCGAGAGTTTGCTCGGCGGAGAGAGCATTAGCGACGCTGATTTCGGATTCGCTCGTCCCGATTTCCGATCAGAGCAACTCGCTGGAACCGTACAGTTTTACGAGAGGCATGTTTTCTTGTGCTACAAAAAGCCCTCCGTTTGGCCCGCAAGGATCGAGGCCGCTGAGTTCGATCGATTGCCCAGGCTACTCTCTGCGGCCGTATCGGCCAGGAAGTCTAGCATGAAGAAGGAGGTCACTTTTCTAATCTCCAGCTTCTTTACTTGAATCCCAATTCCAAGGATGATGTTTGATTCTAATGGATTTAGGTCTCTGATCCTTTTGATCCATGGCTTTTTGATGAGCTAAAATCACTTGATTTCTGCTGTTTTGGCTTAGTTCAAGTATCTGTTTAAGATCTTAATGGGGTCATGGAAACTATATCTTGGGGACTCCTTGGGATTTCTGTTTTGGGTCAACTAAGGCCATGTGTTGTCTATTTTTGGCAAGATTCTGTGGATAAACAACGTAATAACTTGTCTATTTGCTTTGAGATGGGATCATCGAACACACAACTCCGCTTTTGAGCTTTTAAGTAAAATTAAAATGAGTTTTGAGTTTTACTCTTCTTTCATGTGCTCTGCGAATTTAAGTAAAATTAGTCTCTGATGTATGTTAATGGATTGCTTATTATCAGGTAGTTTTTTATGGTTCGGCTTCTTATGATCTTTGCATCAATCATGAATGTATTTTTAGCTTTGTGCCTCATGTTTTTTTCTTGCCAATTCTTTGTAGACTCGGCTCACGATATGTGAGGGCCATGATGGAACAGAGACATCCAATGGTGATGTACTTATTTTCCCTGATATGATCAGATACAGGTAAGGGTCGAAGTCCTCCTCGTTGGAGTTTTCTAATAATTGCCTTTGTTTTTTAACGGTCGGGACTTATTATTGACAGTTTCAATTCAACAAAAATGCAGAAGGTTGACTCATTTTGATGTGGACACATTTGTGGAAGAGGTGCTTGTGAAGGATGGTGAATGGCTGCCTGGAAATCCTGAATTGCTAAAAGGCTCATATGTCTTTGTATGTTCCCATGGATCCCGAGACCGACGATGTGGGGTTTGCGGGCCATCGCTGGTTAGTAGATTCAGAGAAGAACTTGAGTTTCATGGTCTTCAAGGTAAAGTGTCAGTTAGCCCATGTTCTCACATAGGTGGTCACAAATACGCTGGGAATGTTATCATCTACAGATCAAACATCAACAGGAAAGTCACAGGACACTGGTACGGAATTACAAATTCATCAACGGTTTGAGGCTACGTTCATCTTTTTCATGTAGTTCTATTGTCAGTTTGGATTAAAAGATCAAGAATGCATTTAAAAAAATTGGTTTCATCATTCAAAACTAAAATGGAATTAGGACATCAGAATCTCTCTGCAGTATCCGAACCACTCATACCCTATTTTTTACTTGATCATTGATATTTCTCTTGTCAAGGTATGGGTATGTGCAACCAGATGATGTACCTCTTCTCTTGGAGCAGCACATTAACAAAGGCGAGATTGTAGACCAGCTGTGGAGGTAAGTTCAAAGTTTCTTGATCTCGCAGTTTCCGAATTACTTGGTAATTAGTAATTTATTATGGTTATTTCTGATAATTAGGGGTGAAATGGGTCTATCAGAAGAAGATCAGAAGAAAACTCAGGAACAACAGTTTCAGCTAAACGGTGCAGTCCATACAGTAAAAGGCATTGGGAAAATGACTCAGGAATCATCTGTTCACAGCTCGAATGTTTTGTGTTGCCAGTCCCGAGTTGCAGAACCTAATGGTTGTTGCCAACAAAATGGGAACAGCTCCTCGTGTTGTCAAGACACAACTCTGATGTCTCTGGAGACAAAAGAAGATAATCAACTTGAGAGTGAAAACAACACTGAGAAGCTCACACCGGGAAGGAAAATTGCGGACAAGACTTTCTTCAGGATAAATAGTGAGAAAGGATCTACAACACGTAAAGTTTGTGGAATACCAACATGGTTAGAGAGCTGGGAGCGAGAAGATACATATGCCGCTCTTGCTGTTGTTTGCGCTGCTGCTTCTGTGGTTGTCGCCTATACTTGCTACAAACAGTTGTAATGAAGAAATTTGTAACCCTAAAATGATTGTGTATTATGTTCCTATTAGACCTTGTGATTTTGTTTCCGCTTTCAAAACTACACTTCCCCTTCGTTTCAAGAGGAGGTTAGAACTGTCTGATAATATGTATCCACGTCTTCAGATTTATGAAAAAGCTCAGAGCTTTCCGCTTCTTAGCGTTCCAGGTGAACACAAGACTATCCCAGAGTGATAAAAACATTCAGAATTTTCCAACAATGGCATTGAGCCATTGACTAAGAACTAAAAGAGTTTTCACATTTTCAGAATACTAAACAGATTGCAGAGAACAATTTGAATCTATTGGCAGTTTTCTTGCTGGGAAAATCTCAAAAGAAATCAAACTCCAGATAGTTGCTCTGGTCAGACTTGACATTGGCAGATGTGGCTGCTGCTGGAGTAGCAGGAACACTCTCAAGATCAACCGGTTTGGGTATCTCTGGTGGGCTAGCGCATCGAACCAATGCCCAATTCACTCCTTCGAAGAAAGGATGTTGCTTCATCTCAGTTGCACCCCGTTTATACGCTAATCTATGTTGAGGTTCCTTCACAAGCAGGCTCCTAATCAAATCCCTAGCAGCAAAACTGACAACTGGAGATTCAGGGAAACGCAGAGGCTGACCCACAACATTGAAGAGTGTTGCTCGGTTTCCCGACCCTTTAAATGGGGTTTTACCAAACAATAGCTCGTACAGAAAGATCCCGAAAGTCCACCAATCAACCGCACTCCCATGCCCTTCCCCTTTTATGATCTCAGGAGCTAAGTATTCATGTGTACCAACAAATGACATTGAGCGAGCGCTTGTGGGCTCAGCAATGAGCTCAGGCAAAGGACTAACCTGGTTTCCCGTTTCGTTTTTCATTTTCTTGTCTTTCTTGGATTTACTTGAGAAAAATCGCGGAGAAAAGCATGTTGTAGGAGCGGAAATGCAAGATGGCTGTTGGATGCAAGCAGGTTGTGCACAATAACCCGAGTTCCGTTGCAAGGTTTCAGACACAAGAGCCGTTGATCTGACCACTGTGGGGCTAACAGTACACCTCAAGGAGAGGTCAAAGTCAGAAAGCATCACATGTCCATCATCTCTCACAAGAACATTCTCTGGCTTAAGATCGCGGTATATGATCCCGAGCATATGAAGATATTCCATTGCAAGAAGTACCTCTGCAACATAAAACCTGAAAAAGTAAAAAAGCCAATATATTTAACACAAAAAGTAAAAACCTAGGATGCACAACAATAAATTGACGATGATTAAAAAAAAAATCTTACTTTGCTGCTGGTTCAGAGAAACGCTTCCCAGGCTGTCTTTGTCGAAGAGTATGCAAGTCACCTCCAGGACAAAACTCCATAACCAAACATGAGAACTTCTCGGTCTCGAAATGACTATACAAAGTTGGGAGAAAAGGGTGGTCAAGACACTGCAGTATCTCCCTCTCGGTCTGAGTTCTAAGAAGCTTCTTACGGGTAGCCAAAGCCCCTTTGTCCATAACCTTCATTGCAAAATAACACCGTGTTCCATGCAACTCAGCAAGATGGACGGTTCCGATATCCCCACACCCTAACCTCTTTAAGAGCCTAAAATGATTCAAACCCAAAACACCATGTTTTGTTCGGACAGCTTGTATTGCTTCCCATCTCACATCATTCGCCTTGTGAGGCTTGTTGTTGCTACTTAAGCTACTACATGTGCTCTCATCACTGATGTCACTGCTTGTGCTTGGTCTACATGTGTTACTCTTTCCGCTCTCACCACGATCAGACTGTTCATTATGTTTAACCTCTCCGCTGGTTTTACTGTCACTGCTTGGAGCAAAAGATAAAGTTAAAGATACTTGATCTGCCAAAGTGTTGATTGAAATACTTTGACTGGAATTAGAAACCGATGCTTCCGGGGTTTGCTTATCACCCTTTTCTTTATTATTTTCTGGAAGAACTCCAGAACCAGATTTTGAGGCCATGAATGAATAACTATCTACTTAGCACCCAGTATTCAAGGAACTGCTCTTGACTCCAGTTATCACTGTTGTCACTGATCCCGTAAGATAGTGATCTGCCCTCTGCATTGAGCAAAACATACTGTCAGTTATTTTGGCTCAGTATAAAATTCAAGAAACAAAAATAGAAGTACCATAGGGTGGTCTCATAGAGGAATAAGCTCATTAGAATAATGACCTTAAAACACTTCAGATTCAGATGAGCAATCAAGAGTTCGAATTACGGATATTGATACAAGCTCTTATTCCTCTCTCCTCATAATCAAGAAACATCCTTTACCATACAGCTTAGCAGATTAACACATAGACCTTAAAATGTTGCTATTTTTAAAACAGGATACAAAACTCAGAGCCGAGGCCATGGCTCAATTATTGCTAAGAGATTCATTCCACTTGGAATCACAAGATCAAAAGTTATTCATCAAATTAAAAACAACATCTGAGTCCTAAAAATTGTAATATCTATACAGAAAGCAGGTCGAAAGAAAGAAGCTTTAGCTCTATAGCGTTATGGATCTCGAGCTCAAAAATCACAGTGACAATCAATTGAACAATTTACGCTTACTCAACACAAAGTAATTCACTATTTCCACATCAGGAAACACTTTAAACACTCTGATTCTCTAATCAACCAAAATTAGCAATAGACAGTTCATGCAGAGTAGGTTTTCTCCTAGCTATTAATCAGATCTCAGAAAAGTAAGAAGAATCAAGAAAAGCTCTTTTGGATCTAGAAGACCCACTCGCTCAAACCCTATAGAAACAAAAGAAAACGAACAACGGAAATTGAGGAGAAATAGCCACAAATCGTTTACCTTTAGAATAGCTGTGGGAGAGAAAGATCTCGTTTTGTCAGGAATTAGGCAGAAAGAAAGGACTTTCGTAATGGATCACTAAAGAAAGATAGAAGAGATTGAGGAACTCATCACATTCCTTCCATGGAAATGAAGAGAGATGGGAGATGAATCAGAGAGTGAGAAAAGGGAGTTGGGTCTACCATGAAAAGAGGGAAGAAGAAGATGTGGTCAAAGCAAAAGTTTTCGACTTTTTTTATTTTATTTTTAGGGCTTTACAAAATTTCTTTTCGGTTTATTTCTCATAACTTGAAGACCAAGGGTTTTTTTTTTCATCACAAATATTATATTAATTATGATGGAATGGGATTGTGAGATAGAAGGATGGAATACGACCGTAAAATACGATTTGAAATACAAAGTTGATGTCAACAAGTACGACATCGGAGACAAAAACTACAACCGAAAACCCAACTTAAACCATTTGAACACAATTACACCCTGACTAACGACGAAATTCAATCAAATCAAAGCCAACTCTGCAAACTTTCAACTAGAACATAAGGTAGAGACGCTCTGAACCTGAACGTGTAAATCATAACAAGGAAAGACGAAAACGCAGAGCTGAAGATAACCTAGAATACACTTCCTTCACCCGTGACTAGGGATAAAACCAAACCCGGATCACGATAACAAGAAACCTAGGCATAGAAGATCGCCAACAAAGAGAACCAAACAAAATCGAAACCACTCTGAAACTTCTTCACTGATACTCATCCCAATATTATTGAGAGAAAGCTGTTGAAATGCATTGCCGCAAGAAGAATTATTCAGAAAATACGGATAACAAAGACACTGAACTGTTGGACGGAGAAGACTTGCCCCGAGAACATCTTCATCATCACCAAAGAGAAATCAACATGTTGCACGAACACCTCCACAAAACCTTCACCATTAAATAAACAAGGACTAGAGAAGCCAAACCCATATACCAACCTGAGCTTTACACACATGCCAAACTCGGGGAAGATAGCGATCAAAGAAAGCCAATAAAACGAGACACAAGCCATATAGGAAAAACGGCTACAGATCTAGAAAACTCTTCAACGAAGAAGACGAAAGCAAGCTCCGCCTTTGGAGATGTGTTCTGATAAAGAAAAATCCAGATTTGAGCCAACAACGACTGAGAGACACAAGCTCCACCGAACCAAAGACCAAATCCAACAAGCCCTACACTTCCTCAACCAAAATAAAAAATCTAGATAGATCCAACCACAGAACAAACCGGACCAAGGACCCAGATCTGAAACCACACCCTTTTAAAAACTAACATTGATAACTAGAGACTGAAAACTGATAAAACTAAGAGACAAAGCCTATATTAAGAGCTCCGACGTCGACGCTGTGAAAGTCGTCGCACGTAGAAGCCAAAGCCACCAATCACAGAAAAAGTTACCGTAGCGGCCGAAACTCTAGAGAGATTAGGGCGGACCAAATTTGTCGTGTCAAAGACAAAGGTTTCAAGGATGCTTTATATTTTTTTTTTGGTCATCTAATATTATAAGAACAAAAATTTAAAGTTACACAAACCGAAACTATATATATTTACAGATTCAAAAGCCAATGGAAAACAGATTGGTTACAACTTTTAAATTTTTTGGCTGTGGTTGGTGTGAATGATAACCTTTTTTTGTCAACAATCACCATATATTAAATTAATTGCGACCGATTAGATAATTTCTCTGACGGACAATCCCAAACGGAAATGTCTGACTTACATGAGAGAATATATAACCTCGTGTTCGAGCTCCATTTGCAATGATACAACCACTACGTAGAATATGAACTAAACTAAAGGATACAAAAGATTGTCTTAACATAGTGAACCAGTCAAGCTCCGCACTAAAAGCTGGCCAATCTAGTGGATGCATAGTCATAGAAATCAGACTTGCACAGTCCGTCTCAATCCTTATTGAGGAGAGCCTCCTCTCGCTTAGGCGATCCATCGCCCAAAGCAGTTCGTCGAATTCAGCATGAAGTGCAGAGATGTTTCGTCTACATCCTCTCATGCCGAAAGTAAGGAGGTCCGTATAGTCTCTTAGGCACCACCCTAGTCCACTGACCTGACCATGATCGATCCAAGATGCATCAATCTAGCATGTCAGGAATTGAAGATTCTGGGGAGATAAACCATGTGAGTCACCGTGTATGCGTATATCATATGCTTCTTTTTCTTCTTATCTTTGATTAGCGATACTCCAACTCTCTGCCTCGAGGGCCGCTGTCTGGAGAGTATACCGTGGGAATATTTTTTTCCCATTGAACATCTTATTATTTCTGGCCTTCCATATTTTAACAGAGGATCCAGGGGAAAGATTCTCTCTGAGACTCGGATAAACTGATCTCGTTTGTTCGTGAGAATAAGAAATCCATATTTCGGAATAAAGAAGTACTCGGAAAGAAACTCGGAGAGGACGGAAAATCCGATAACGCCCAAATAGAAGAATTTTTTTTTGTACTGGTTACTGCTGGCCCCACCATGGAAAATTGATCCTTTTTTTTTTTTTACTAAAGCGTTTATTTTTCTCTACAGAGAAAAAGTTTATTCTAATACATTAAAAAGGAAAAAATTATATCGAATGCTTTTACTTTTTGGATGGGCCCAAATTACTTTTCTTTCTTCCAGATTTTTTTCTCTTTTTAACTCACCATTCACACGAGTCTTAATCTTATAAACTCTTTTTTTGTTCAGTTTTATTCAAATACGCCCTCATGATAGAAAAGAATATTGTTTTGATTTTTTTTAATCAAAAATATGGTTAAGGACTAAGTTAGCCTTAATGAATTGAGAATATTACAGGATCTAACGAGATACCTTAACCCGAATCCGGATTGAATATGGATCTAAAATAAAACCTATCTTTTTTCCTCTTTCTCGAAAATCG